AAAAAAAAAGCCGCAACTATAATCTAAGCATACATCAATCAACAAAGAAAACTAAAAATTAAATCATTAGTTTCACAAAGAATTTCTTCTCTTCGAAAGTCAAATCCTAATGATACAGTTCCTCATTTGCTCCGTCTAAAATAGAGCAAAATTGTTATTTAAATTTGTTCAAGAAGATACATTACCAACATTCTCAAATCCAGTACAACATTGTTGTTGAAAAATGTAATAAAAGAGAATAATAGAATTTGCAATCAACTACATTAGTTAAAAATTATTTTTACAAGGTTCTTTTATTTATCAATTGAATGAATACAAAAATTACATTACAACAAGTACATTATTTTGCTGGTGTAAGTTCTCAAACTTCACATAAACGGCATAATACATGAAATGAAACTATACGCATTATAGTACCAAATTATATGATACGACTTACCTTGTTGCTACAAATAGACGTGTAAAACGTAAGCTCGTTAAAAACCGAACCAATATTCGACGAGTACAACATCTTTATCAATATAATCGAGTCAAGTTATAATCGAGTCAAATTATAAAAAAATTAAAAGACCAATTCATTCTTTCGAGCCTTTAAACAAGCTCAAATATTAATAAAGTTGATTGAGTTAAATTCATTGACAACTCTTTTTATTTAATTTAATTTAATAATTAAAGCAGTAGAGAATTTGTGTAGTAATATAAAAGTGGTTGGTCAAAGTTTGGGTGTGTGGTTGTGGCATTGAAGGCTTCGGCAGACAAGAAAATACGACGGCGATTCGAAAAAATCCAGTGGGGCCCACGCAATCAGATTTCAGTCTCGTTTGGCTGAATACGTGGGGCCTACTGGTTTCTTTATTTATTTATTTATTTATTTTTTATTTTGGCGGCTTTTACTATGCTTTTCATCTGAAAAAAAACAATAGTATCTCTCTTCAATTTTTAAATGACGATAAAATAAAATAATAGAGAGAGATTGTTTTATTATTATTATTTTCACATTTCCACACCTACCGAAGTCAACATTTATGTTATTTTATAGTGTCGCTTTGGAGTTAGAGATTTTAATAAAAGTTGAAGAATGAGGTATAAATTTGGAAAAAGTAGGGGTTGAATAAGTACTTTTGGATTAGTTTGTCACGGCGATGCTGTTAAAATAAACGAGTTTGGCTTGATTCAGCTCGAGTTTGAGGTCTTAACGAGTCAAGTTATAGCTTATTTAAAGCTCGTTTGGCTAACGAGTTGAGCTTGACTCGGCTAGATGAGGCTGGAAATAAAATTTTATGTAATTTTTTTATAGTTATCGAGATCGGTTCTTTAAGGCTTGAGTTCGAGGCCTTAACGAGCCGAGCTCGAGCTTTGTTCCAGGCTCGTTTATTCAACGAGCTGAGCAGAGCTCGGCTCGGCTTGTTGACATCCCTTTATATGCGACTGATAAGGTGAATTTGGTGAAATTAAAGTTATTTAAACGAGTTGAAACTTTTTATCAAACGAGTCTGGTCAATTATGTGAACAATCGATTTATTAATGTAACTTTTTAACTTAACTTCACTATTCGCAATACTATTAATATAATTAAATAAAATCATCATATACATTACATTACCTTTGATTCACTATTTATCAACTCACATAATTTAAACTAACTATCACTTCACATTATCTCTCCCTAACTTTTACATCAAATCAACTTTAATTATTTTATTTTAAAAATTATTTTCGTTAAAACTGAAAATCTCACAACTATTCATACCATATTTGTCAAAATTAACTCTAATTGACTAAAAAAATTACTCTGAGCGGATATATTTTGTATCCAAACACGCCCTTACGTTATTCGGTTCGACTCGACTTAAGAAAAACCCTACATGAAATTAAATGTTATTTTGTTGGAATATGCACTTGAAATTTGAAAATACTTTATTCTATAAATATGCGTCATTAGCTTTTTGAGCCACAGTACACAAAATCAACGTTGTGCAGTCAATCAATGCTCAAGATCCGAGACTAGTCAACATGCAGCCCGAGCTGTACCTGTATCACACCCACTGAATGACCATACGGTTATTTAATTTTTATTTCATTCTTTTTTGTTTTCATTTTACTTTAAAAAAAAATAAAAAAAATCAGTTTAATTTCTTGCCACAACATTAACAAATAAATATTACACATTAATGAACCTCCTGTAATAAAAAATGATTTATAGTTATTTTACAGTTCCATTTTTATCATAAATGGAAGATTTTCATAAATTTTTTAATTATTTTAAGGTGAATTGAAAATTAATTACAAGTAGTGTGATATGACGCTATTAATGGCTTGTATGGACCGACAAGAACTACTAGCTCGAGTTAGTCGGTCCGTGATAGTTTCTTGCTCGGTGATAGAGTCTGACTATGTCGAGAAGTTCGGTATGGCAACTCGATTACAAGTCAACTTCAAAGGTTAACAGGTTATAGCATCCAAGAGCTCGATTAGATGAGGGGTCATGAGGTTGTCTGAACGACCTGATATAGCACAAGGTCATAGAGTCATGCACAAACCTAAGCACCTGTAGTGTCATAACGACAAGGAAACAACATCTCGTTCACATGGTAAGTCTATCTTGCTCAGATTTTACATATGTATTTCACTAATAAAAGAGATATAGGCAAGATCTCCTTCCTAGTAATAAGGTTGCGTGGACTATAAGACAACCTCCATGTTTTAATTTATTTTATCGCGCATTACGTATTTCATTTGAGAACAACTCACGGTCAAACTTTAACTTAAGCAACTGAGGATTAACCGTCGGAATCTCATTTTGCAAATCATCGGAACTCGAGTTGGAACATAGTTCGTGACACCACCAATCCATTAGCCGTTTTGAGTTAGTTTGCACATCAGTGTATGTGAAAAAACATAAGTTCAAAAAGCTAAAAATTTAGTTTAAGTAACCTAAAAGTTGTCCGGTCAATCCAAACAAGTCATAATCATGCACTACGCATGCTAAAACTCTAATAGTGTTAATTGGGCGACAAGTAGGAAAAAAAGACACCGTTTGTAGTCTATATGAGTGCGTACGAGCTCACGGTGTGCGGGCCTGCAGTTGGCTCCGTCACGACTCGAGACGCTCTTGATGTCTATAAGTTGTCTCTTGTTGGCTTTCAGTTGTGTCTATTCTCATCCATTCAAATCCCAAAAGGTATTATTTGACACTAATATCTCTTGGAGGTGCACCTGAGCACATCACAAAAGGTATCTTGTAACAGATAAGCATCTCAAAAATATTTTGCTACATCTATAAATATCTGAATGCATGAATCATTCAAGAAATTATGAGCTTTTGCATTACATTTTTCAAAGTGCACAAAGCATAATGCATTTTTTATTGAGTTTTGAGAATTTCGAACATCAGTATTATTCATCGAAGTTTAGATTCCTTCATCTTCCTTATATTTTTTCTAGACATTCACATACCATCTAACACCACCTCTACGGGGCATTAGAATGGAACCAAATCGTTTTGATATGACATCACGAAGACTTGAATGTGAAGTCTGAGAAAAATGGGGCTAGAATTGATATAGGAAGAAGTCGAGCTGTTGTGATCCGACTTATGATAGCGAAATATGGCGAGGCTAATTACTATGAAGTGGTACAATCAAGCTCAAGAGAGATCGAGCTCCAACGACGAAAGATAATTAATTCTATAGAATGAATTGTCCAAGTATGAGCATGAACGAGCCAAGGATTATAATTCATATAGAAGGTTGTTTCTTTTTTACATACAACATCTTGAGATTTGAGAAATTTCACATATATAATGTTAATCAAAATAATGACCCCAAGAGTTGGAATTTTCTTGAAGAGGACAACTCTTGTTTAACACCATAACTATGCAATTTAAGAGGAAGTAAAATGATTTTTATATGAGGTAGTATGTAAAAAAAGAGAGTACTAATTAATAGTTTACGCTAAGACTTTCTAGATGCTTTATAGGTAAGTATGTGTTAAAGTAGACAATTATCAACAAACAAACCCAAAAATCGGATTAACTTGATGCTTTTTTTATCTACATTTTATCATCCTCGTGAAATTAGCTTTATTATTATCCTATATCAAATTGTACCCCTTATTACTGTTACTATTGTTAAAAAAATAAGTTATTATTTAAAGATTTATATATTTTATAGAGAAATGTTACAGTCCTACGTAATCATATTGTCAAGATTTGTAACCATTAGATCATTATGTAACTGTCGTGAATAATTGATCTAACGATTACAAATTCTGACTGTCAAGATTTGTAACCATTAAATCATCATGTAACCGTCGTGAATAATTGATCTAACGATTACAAATTATGACGTAATGGTTTCGTAACGAGATAGTATAATATCACTTATTTTATATTTCTCAACCAAATGTTTGAAACTGTCAAATAAAAGCGACAAGTCGGATATAATGGAGAGTAGATTTGCAAAGATTTTCCCCTATCTCTCTACCCTTTTCTCCTTGCACATAAAGCAGATGGCTTTCACTCTCTCTCTCTCTCTCTCTCTCTCTCTCTCTCACACACACACACACACACACACACCCCAGCTATACAGCTAGTACCTAGCAGCCCACCGCTCTATATATATATATACAGGCACACCCAAAGGGCTAGGTTAAAAGAGATCCCAATAGCTCACACACGAAAAATTCAAAAAATAAATAAATAAATATATATATATATATATTATAAAAAGATAGAAAAATGGATGTTGCAAGTATGGAGACCGATTATTCTTCGGATGTTGTTGTACCTCAGGAGCTGCGCGTCCTTGCTGTTGATGACAGTCTCGTTGATAGGAAGGTTATCGAGCGCTTGCTCAAGATTTCTCACTGCAAAGGTTCGATTTTTACTTAGTGTTTTGTGTTTTTTGAGCTGTTCTTTTTGTAAACTGTTGTTTTGGCTTAAAGGGGTGTGTTAAAATGGGATTTGTTGCAGCGATTGCCGTCGAAAGTGGGACGAGGGCTCTGCAGTATTTGGGCTTGGACGAGGAGAAGAACTCTTCTGGGTTTGATGATGTAAGAAAAAAAAAAGGAACAATCTTTTTGATTGTTCTTTTGTTGTTGCTTTTTATGTTTGTGTTTTCTTGGTTTCTTGTGGTTGGTTTTAGTGTGGTAGCTTGTGTTTAGCCAACTGATGATTATCCCTTTTTCTGTTTTTCACCTTGTAAATTGTAGCATCAGTTTAGATATCACTTGTTTTTTGTTATGGTTTGGATCTAGAAGTAACTGGAAAATTGAACCTTTATTAGAAAAATTATTTAGCGAGATGCTACGTCTTGTTATGGAATCATTCCGTCGGGGTTTGTAATCGGAATGGTTCCGTAACGGGACTGTAGTATTTTCCAAATATTTAACATTTCTTTCTTATTCTCCCATTGGAATCCTAGATGAATTTTTCTTTCCTCTTTGGTTGTGATTGTTTAAGGGACTTGCAGATGGAAACTTATGTTTTTAATGTCCTTTACAGGACTTGAAGGTGAATCTGATAATGACTGACTATTCTATGCCTGGCATGACTGGATTTGAGCTTCTCCAGAAGATCAAGGTTGGTTTTTTTTTTAATTTTTTTTTTCTTTGTTTGGGTGTATATGGAAAATACAGAACAAATCTAGCTATAGGATTGTCCATTGTCAATTTATTCTCTTAATGATGTGATCTTAATTGGTTATCTTGTTTTGGCAGGGCTCGGCCAAGCTCAAGGGAATCCCGGTTGTGATCATGTCGTCCGAGAACATAATGGCTCGTATCGATAGGTATTTCCTTGTGGAGTTAGTCAATTATGTTAGAAATTAGAAACATTAACTCTCGTTTGAGCATTCTTGAAGATTTTGGAAAAAAACCAAAAAAAAAAATAAATAAATAAATAAAATACTGCTTGATTTGAACATGAAGTAGAGTTGTTTTGTTTCCACAAATGGTTTAGCCTCGGCTATTTTTGTGCGATTGTTTGCATTTTGAGAAATAAAAACTTCAATAATAATATATGCATAGAATCAGCTGATGACTTCTCTAATTAGTATTTACATGTCTCGGTTTTCAGGTGTTTGGAGGAAGGGGCTGAAGAATACCTCGTGAAGCCGGTAAAGCTCTCGGATGTCGAGAGGGTCAGAGATTGCATTTTGCGAGGCAAGGATAAAACAGGGAATTTACTGAACCCTAAGAGGAAAATCGGAGTCGAGCCTCAACCACCACCACCACCGGCTATCGACTGTGAAACTGATCCAGTGGGGCCCACATCATCAGTGCCCATCAGCCATGAAAGCCCGACTTCCCCTCGTCCGGGCCCAGAACTTCAGCCCGAGCCGCACGATCAGCCTCTTGCCAAGCGCCCAAGTTTGGTGGCTGCCGCAGATCGACTTTGACTTTGGCTTTTGACCCATTCTGACCCGACCCAACTTGACTCGATGCTATTAGTACTAAAGTGTTTTGTTTGCTTTTGAGTCTTATCTTGTTATATTTAGAAATGAAGGTAAATGGTGATTAATCGTGGAGAAGCGATCGTGAACGGTTGGGCTATTCGGTTTTGTTAGGGCTCGACTTGTTTTTTTTGGGTACTAACATGGCTGTAGGGAATGAGTACATGGATGATGAAATTGTTTTGTTTCAATATGGTACATAGTAGTGTGTAATCATCTGTATGGAGTTTGACTCTATGGTTAGTTATCTGGTTTGTGTGGCTGTTTTTGAGGAATTCTTTTTGTCTGGAATTGAACTGGCCAATTGTCATATGATTTGGTCAAAGCATAATTCTGCAGATTTTGAAATATGTTTTGACTTAATTTGATTCACATGGGATACAGGGGTTTATTTTATTTGAGATTATAGATTTCATAAATAATTGGAAGTATCGAAATAATGACATGAAATTGGTAGTGTCAAGTGTCAACAAGTGATACATAAATAAAATAAATAAATAAATAAATATGAAGACTTATGATTTTTCAATTTTTTCTCTTATGTAATTTAGTGGAAAAATATGAAGACTTAAGATTATTCGATCTTTTCAGACGTAATCTAGTGTCAACAAGTGAAACAAAAATGAAAGACCGAAGGAGATTTATTGATTATTTTTTAATCTTTTGTTACTGTAGTTAAAAGATTACGAAATCTTGATACGTGATGATTTTTCAATCTTTTCTAACGTGGTTAAAAGATCACGAAATCTTGATACGTGATTGGTAGGCACAATTATATCTTTAAACGAGATTAAGCTCTAATGAGCCAAATTGTAGAAAATTATACAAAATTTTTTTTTTTCGAGTCTTAACGAGTCGAGCTCGACTAGTTAACCAAGCGAGCTTTAAATGAGCTCGAGGTCGGCTCGAGCTGAGCCATAACGAACTGAGCTCGTCTCGTTAACCAAACGAGCTTTAAATGAACTCGAGCTCGGCTCATTTAATTTAACAGCACTAGGCACAATGTATATATGGTTGAAAAAAATCACGAAACCTTTGTTACCATGGTGACACAAATTGATGTTAACAACGGTTTGCATGTGGTTAAAAGATTACGAAATCTTGATAAGAGATTGGTAAATAGAATGTGTATGCGGTTGAAAAATCACGAAATCTTTCTTAATATATGAGTCTGATCCTTTAATTTTTCTCCAAATTATACACACATCTCCATTTTTTATTTTTATTTTTTCTTAATTTGAGCTTAATTTGAAGCATGGAAAAAGGAGAAATTGGAGTTGAAGCAATTGTGTGTCTAATTAAGTTGAGTCTCTATGATAATGTCAGCAATTTCTGAGGTATTTTTCCTTGTTCTCAACAATGTGCTAAAAGATCCTTTATTTTATTTTATTTTTTTAAATTAAAAATGTGATATTGAGTTTTTTTTTCTGTTCTATCAACATATGTTATGAGCACTCATTCTCACTGTTAAAATTTGTTAAAAAGCTAAGATATATGGGAAAAAATAGGTAATTAAAAAACAGAGAATGGTGTAGTTCTGATTCATAAATGTCACATTATCTTCAAACGCGAAAGCAAATAGTGTGCACACTAGGTGTTCGAGATAATGCTTGAGTGAATAATGATATAATTTGCTGCTGTTCTCCTTTCACCTGGCTGAATAAAGGGCCACACTTTTTATATATTGATATAGGATCACAATGCTTACCCGACTAATGTCTTTCCGTTGCGCAATGTTTCGTCTAGGTTCGTAAACTAACGTCATTAAGTTCAAACGAATGATTAATAAGCCTGATGTTTTGATCAAACAGTAGTTGAAATCTTGATTCATTCGATGAGCTTAGTTTTGATTCATTTGATGAGCTTAGTTTTTTTCTTTTTTCATTTTTCTTTTTTTTTTGGCGGTTTTGCAGTTCTCTTACTGCCTCTCTTGTGTTCGACGTTTCTCCTCAAAAGTTTGGGAGATGCCTCGAGACCCGAGAGGGTCGAAGCAAAAAATGGGGTCGTGGCCACTGATGAAACAGCATGCTCGAGAATCGGACGCGATCTTCTTAAACAAGGGGGCCACGCAGTTGATGCTGCTGTGGGGGCCACACTTTGTATAGGTGTCGTGAGCCCCGCTGAGAGTGGGCTCGGTGGAGGAGGATTTATACTCGTTCGCCAGGCAGATGGGCAGGCGAAAGTTTACGACATGAGAGAAATTGCACCTGGACGAGCTTCCAAGGTCATATTTTTTTTCCTCACTTTTTGAAGTGAAATAAGTTTTTTTGTTTTTTTTGTCCATTTGCTGCATATTTGTTTGCTATGCTATCCTACGGTCTCATTTTCGACAAAAAAGAAAAAAAGTTTCAATGCTCGAGTTCAATTTTACTCAAAAAGGCTCGAACTTTTTTCAAGGATATGTTTGCCAACATGACTGAGCTCGAGTGGAAAGTCAACCCTCTTTCCATAGCTGTCCCGGGACAGCTGGCGGGTCTCTACACAGTCCAGCAGAAATATGGGAAGCTTCCGTGGGCATCCGTCGTGAAGCCTTGCGAGGATCTCGCGCGCAATGCTTTCAAAATCTCCCGCGCCCTCTCTCGAAAAATCGCCAGCGTGGGCCCACACATTTTGTCCGACGAGAGTTTTGGGAGCGTATTTGCTCCAAACGGGCAGATTCTCGTCGAGGGGCAGACTCTACGCCTCCGCAAACTGGCTGACACGCTGGCGGCCATCGGCAAGCACGGGATGGGAATTTTCTACAACGGCTCGATTGCCGATGGCTTAGTAAAGGACATTCGAAAGCGAAAAGGGATCGTCACTAAGGAAGATTTTCAGAAATACCGAGTTATTACGAGAGAACCTCTTGTTTCTTCGGTATTGGGGTATAACTTGCTGACCGTACCACCTCCTGCTTCGGGTGGGGCAGTCGTGATACTCGTGAGTTGCTTTACTACTTGCAGTCAATTTTTATTTTACTTTTTTATTTTTTTTCCGAATATTGTTTGTTAATATGAGTTGTTGAATAATGACACTATGACAGATACTAAAGACTCTTTCGAAGTTTGATAACAATGTTACCACGTCGCTTTTTGTGCATAGAACGATCGAGGCACTAAAATATGCACTTGCTCTGAGGATGAATCTTGGAGATCCCGGTTTTGTGAACATTACCAATATAGTAAACTATATGACTGCAGATAGCACCGCGCAGAAAATTAAGAATCTGATAGACGACAAGAAAACGTTTGATCCCGTTCATTATGGGAGCAGGTAAGCAAAGCTCGTGCTTTTTCGGTACTTAAATCTTTCACGAAAAAGCTTGCGCGATTGTGAAGTTTTCTTAGTAGCTAGTAGCTTACATTATATGTTTGCAACACGAAAATTGTACGAATTTGGCTAATATTTCAGGTGGAGTCAGGTGGATGATCACGGGACGAATCATCTCTGTATTATAGATCGTGAGCGTAATGTGGTAACAATGACGACTAGTATAAATACTCGGTTCGGATCGAAAATAATGTCAGAAAGTACCGGGATATTCTTTAACAATCAGATGTACGATTTTTCGATTCCTACATCGAAAGGTAAACCAGGAGCACCCGCAAACTATGTTAGTCCATATAAAAGGCCTCTGTCTTCTTTGGAACCTATCATTCTTTTAAAGGTAAACGACTTTTTTTTTGTATGCAACAAACTACATATGGTATCTCTTAAATTTACAAACATTCTAAAAATTCCGATTTTTTTTTTTTTCCAGGGAGGATGTGTAAGAGCCGTGATAGGCTCTGCGGGAGGTTTGCTGATACCGGATTCAGTTTCTCAGACCTTACTGAATTTTTTCGTTCGGAAAAAACATATATTCACCTCCGTCAAGACTCCAAGATTTTACCACAGAGTGAGGCTTAGTTTTCACTTTTCACAGTTTACAGTCGACCCTTTTAGTTTTTTCATTCGTTATAATCGAAAAACCGTGACTTTGGAAAAATGCAGCTATATCCGAACGTGCTCTTGCACGAGAACTACTCGTCGGTGAACAGTGATCATTACGTGTACACGGATAAGACACTGAGTGATCTGAAGAAAAGGGGACATCATTTAAGACAGGCAACTGCTATGATGACTACTTGCCAGTTTGTCGTACAAACGTTAATCGGTAATAAAACCGGTTTGCTTACGGCTGTTAGTGACCTGAGAAAAGGTGGTTTTCCAGCAGGTTACTGATTGATTGTTAAGTTTCTTACTTGTTTGTTGTGTGCTATTGACAGAAAACAGAAAACTACAGAATTGTGTGAATTGCAATGTGGATTAGAATATGCATTAGTTATAAGATATTTTATGCAAATTCAGTTCTCTTTCTCTCCCTTCTAAGGTGGAACAGAGAGTTATTCTGCCCATGAGTTTTAACTGATATTAATATTCTAATATATTCTTTGTCAAAAAAAAAAAAAAA